GGTGTATGGTGTGTGTGCGTGCGTGCATGCGTGCGTGTGTGTGTGTGTGTGTGTGTGTGTGTGTGTGTGAGAGAGAGAGAGAGAGAGAGAGGGAGAGAGAGAGAGAGAGAGAGAGAGAAGCTGGGTGTTGCTGGCTCACGCCTGTAATCCTAGCTACTCAGGTGGCTGAGATCACTGTTCAAAGCCAGCCTGGGCAGGAAAGTCCATGAGACTCATCTCTAATAAAGCACCAGAAAACCACAAGTGGTACTGTGGCCCAAGTGGTAGAGCATTAGCCTTGAGCTAAAGAGCTGAGGGACAGCGCCCAGGTACCACAAATGACAAAAAAAGAAAAAAATGTGTGATATATTCAGAGAGTAATGTGTGTGTGTGTAAGACGCAGACTATTGTGAGAATATGCAAGTGTGTGTGTGTGTGTGTGTGTGTGTGTATGTGTGTGTAGGCGCCTATACCTGGGCACATGGATAAGGTCACTCACTCTGCTGTCCCAGGCTGTCTGCACTGGCTTTGTTCTCCCCAGCAGAGCTGGAGCCAGCTCTCCTCCCCAAGCAGTCTGCCCAGGATGGGATCTGACACAGCAGACACTGTCACCTCAGCTCAAAACCAAACTGCCTGCAGGAGGCTGAGGTTGGCGAGGGCAGAAGTTGGCCACTTTTCTGATTCCAAAATGGAGGGGACGGCGAGCAAGTGGGCTCAGGCACATTCATGCTCACATACCAGGAGGGAGAAGAACAATACAATCTGAAAACAGCATGCAAATCTGTTAAGCAAATTTCCATTGCCTGGATTAGTCAGATTATAGAACCACAGAGCATTACAAATATCAAATGCATCTGGCCTTTGGGGGGGAGGGGCTGCAGCTAAAGAACACACATGGGAACTTACTTGGAACCTGGAAAGAAACGTTAGAAAGGGACTGGCCGGCATGGGGGCTTGCCCCGCACTGCCTCTCAGGTACCAGCACTGGCACTGGACAAGTAGGCTGGGAATACTGCTAACTAAGCTTGCCAGCTCTGAGCTGAAGGGGAATGGCATGGTGCTGCATGGACCTGCAATGAACCAGCATGTGCTAGGGGCTATTTCTGTTCATTCTCATCCAGTCTACTCTGTCTTGTTTTGTAGTCGTGTGTAGCCAGGGACACAGGTCAGGTAGGTGGCTTGGGTTGGAAAGGTTGCAGGCAATAGGGTGGTGAGCCTGAGCCCTCCTCCATGCACCTTACATGGTGTTGCCAGGCCACTCGGAAGGGGCTCAGGGCCCGTGACAATGACAATGGAGGAGTCTGAACCTTTGGAAGGTGGTACGATGTTGACAGGGCCCCCCTGTCCTCTCCTCCGTCCCCACTCACTCTGGCCTTCCCTCCCCCTGGACTGGTTGGTCAGGAAGGAAGGACAGGGAGGGAGTCAGGTACTTACAGCTATGCCGTGGCCGAAGCCCGAGCCTGGCTGTGGGCTGGCCGCACTTATGTAATTCCCCACTCCAGAGTCCTGGCTGGCAGGGCCGTAGAGATCGGCGACAGGTCCTGGGCTGTTGGCCCCCGGGAAGCCTCCGGGCCGCGCCGGGTTGGAGCCTGCCGGGGAAGCGGGCGCGCCAAAATTCGGTTGAGCACTGTAGCTATTCAGGACTGGTGTGCAGAGAATAGAGCTGGGTATGAGGCCAGAAGCCAGGCATGCACCGATCATTACAAGCCAAACACTCAAGAAAAACAGCTGAGGCCCAACTTCTAACACTCAACCAAGGCCATGCGAGAACAGCAGGGACTCAAGAATACTCAGCCCAGGCTACTACTAAGAAGCTTGGAGCTCCAAAAATAGAGAGAAGAAAAAAAAAAGATCATTCAACACACTACGGCAACCAACCGGAGGTGCTTTCACTGTCCACCAAATTATCACAATAGAAATAGAGATATATATGGAGGAGAGAGAGAGAGAGAGAGATTTTTTTTCACATCTGAATTGACGCTCATGCAGTCTTCTAGATTTGGGCACGTTGAGACAGCATTCACATCCCATGCAAACTACAAAGGAACTAGTTTTAGACTACACATTGTGTTAATATTGATATTAAAACGTGACAGGAAACAAAGCAATTTGTGTCCAGGAAAAAAAAATCTTTTAAGGAGGGGGATTTTTAAAATTTAGTTTCATGTATTTATTTTTCTTTCTTTTTTTTTTGGATCCATTAAATGATCATTTTGTTTGTATTTATTTATATAAAAATAGACAAAAGATCTCCATTCTTTATCCTTCCCCCTCCCCACACCCTTCCCCCCCTCCCCACTACTGGCTACTCCCTCCCTTCCAGCCCCTCCCATTTTTAATCCCTGCATGAAAGTCGGCAATACTGAAGTGGTCGAAGATGGGATATGTCATGGAAAGTTCGGGCATCTTCACAGAACAGTAATGATGGCGGCAGAGGGTTCCCTTTTGAGGTGGAGAGCCTGGGATGGAGGGAGGGGATGGGGGTGGGAATGGTAACACCTGAAGGTTGGGCCAAAGCTGGGGTGGAGGCAATGTTCCTGCAGAACACCCACACACTCACCTCCTGCAGTAGTAGGAAAAGGGGGATTTAAACTTTTTTTCCTTTTGTTTAAAAAAAAAAGACAAAGAAGAATGAATGCAGAGCATACTGATTGAACGAGTTTATAGCTAAAGCATATCTGACTCAAATACTTGCTGATGTGTGCAAACTCCAGACTGAGAAAAAGGAAGCTCAGATGCACCTCAGCTACCGAGGGGAGAGCTGGCCCCCACACCCCCGAGCCCGATGGGGCTGAGTCTGCCTTAGACCCTGCCCTCCCTCACACCCCATCAGGTCCTCCCAATGAGGGGCCCAGCCAGTCTACCAGGTTAATTTTGTCACAGATATAATTCCCTCTAATAACTTTAACTCTGTATCCAGAACAGAAAAGAAAAAAAAAAAAGAAAAAAAGAAGGGTCAGTTTTTTAAAAAAGTGAGCTCTTAATGGGTTTGAAACCTCAGGGTGTCTGGGACCAGCCACTGTGGGGTAACAGCCACACCTCAAAGAACCACATAGTTTGAGCACCACACACTTCAGCTCCACAGGTAGCAGGCTCCCTTCTCCCTCCCTCCCCTGGCATCTCTCCCTGCCCCCCCTACAGCTGCCTTCAGTGGCAGAAGGAAAGACATCTGAAGTGCAGAGCTGTACTTGTGCCGCAGGGCCTGTGGTTGGAGACCCTTTCACTCCTCCTATGGCTCCAAAGAGCCCCAAGTGGATTTTCACCTCTTCGTCACAGGGGAGGGAAGAGACTAAGGATGCACCACACTAGGCTGGTGGAAGACAGAGAAGAGGATATAAGATAAAAGGAACCAAACCAAGTTGGGTCTGGCTCCTGATTCAACAGTGAAAAGTGATTCGATGTCTTCAGCTGCTCCTGGGGCAGGAGGCTTGAAGGTTAAGTCCCTTTGAAACTCTAAGCCCAGGGTGGGGAGCAAGTCAATGGAAAGAGAACAGGTTAAGGAGAAAAAGAAAAAAAAATTACACAGGCTTAGAGCAAGTGAATAGCTTATTTGGAAACACACTGGCAGACAGAGGAGATGGGGTGTTTTGAATATAGAAGATTACACCTGCAGGTAACATTTGGCCCTTTTTACTCAAGGAGGCAAGTATCAAGCTGATATATTCAAAAGTCAGTATTATCTTGGTAGAACACACTTTCTTCCTCTAGGCTTGGGAAATGCAGAGTCAGACAGAAGACTCTTGGTTTATCTAGGCAGCTAAACCTCTCCTTCCATAAAGAAATAAACCAACCTGTTCTGATTTATCATGGGGCGGGGGGAGTTAAAGATGGGAGACCCAGTGGAAAAGGGAAAGATTTCTCAGCTTCCCCCCCCCCCCCACTGGTGGGATTTAGATGCAGGAAGCTCCAGCGCAGGCCTGCCTAAGTGGAAGTGTTGGGGAAAGAGGGCAGGTGGGGGGGGGGAGGTTTCTCCCAGCAGGGAGAGTTCTTTAGGGACTCATCTGGCCTGGGGCAGGCAGCCCATGGAGACAGGATGTGGCGTGCTCACTGAAGAATGCTGAGTAGAGATGCTTCTTGGAAAGCTAGAAGGCAAGCGGGCTGTTGGTGCCCTGGCCATTCCTGGCAACTTCTCCAGTCCCCCTATGCATGGAAACTTGGCCCTCAAGAGTCAGCCTTGAGGAATTTCACAATAAGCAGCTCGTCTCAGGCTGTATTACCTCTCCTTGCTTAGTTATCTTCTGTCAAATGATATTCAAATCATCATGGAGAAAGCACTGTATTAGAATGTAGCTTTAAACCCCCCAAGTCTCATTTTATTATGCACTGGTTCATGATAACATGTAAAATCTACCTCAAAGTCACCTTGCAAATAAGTATCCCCAGCCAGGGTTGGAAGATGGTGCTGCTGGAGCCCTACCAGAAGTGCAGTGGGCAGACAATTAAGTACCCAGTTCTTGGCTGTCCTCTGCTCCACAGACAATGGAGCCTGTGCCCTCAAAGGCTGGCTAAGGAGGAGAGATGTCTCTAAGCTCCATAGTCAACACCTGCCTCTCTGCTTCTCTCGGTGGCAGAAGAGCCACACTCCAGAGAGTAAGCTAAAGCCCCAAACAAGCCATCTGCAAACCCATGCATATTTGGGCATATTAAAAAAGCAACAATGGCTCTGGCTGCTCAGGAGAGAAAGGAGACAGACACTTGGCACACAGACTTGCTGGTAGCTGTTTCTGTAAGAGGTACTTAAAAAGATGCTTTTGCTGGGTACTGTGAATTAACGAAAAGCCCTCCAACTCTGTATCTCTGCCCTCTGATCTGAGCTGTTCTCTGCCACAGTCCTTTTGCAGTCACCTTGTTTTAAGAGGAAAGAGAAGATTCAGAGAAGCATCTTGTGTGGAAGGTAAACTGTCCCTCAAACAAGCCATGTCTTACTTATTATCTTAAAGCTAACAGCCCCAGAACTCAGGAGACCACCTTGTTCCTGTTCTGTTTCAGTAATAAGCTGATAACACTGCCATGTAATACTCTGCTCTTCACTATGTCTCTGTATTTTTCCTAGGGGACGTGAGTGGCCAGACCTAACTTGGGACTGCTGGACTTTGGGCTGAGGGTCTAAAAACCTGGTTTTATTTCTGCTGGTTGATGGTGGAACAGCATCAAGGACAAAGTAATTTTCTTCTTTTGGGAAGTTATTGTAACCCTATATACCTGCACTTCAGCTGGCCACGGTAAGGGGTCATTTGAGGACTCCTTTCTCCCGCCAAGTTATGAGAGACAGGAGAGCAGGCAAGAAGCTAAGTTTCTGACCTGGGGTGCTTAAGAGGTCATGCTAGTCAATTCAATAATTTATCTTAAATAGAGCACCAAGATTCATTTTGAGGCGCTAGACATAGTCCATGCACCAAGTTCAGGTTAGGAAAATAAGATGGGCAAGGGCACCTTGACTACTGCTGAGACAGGGTGTATAGGGGTGGGTGGACAGAGAAAATAATGCTGCATAAGCAGTGCTGAGAGGTATAAACTGGCTAACATAACTCCTGTCCAGAAAAGGGGCCTGTCTTGCAAACACTTTGGCATTTTTTTTTTTTTTTTGGTCGGCTGTGGGGCTTGAACTCTGGGCCTGGGCGCTGTCCTTCAGCTCTTCAGCTCAAGGCGAGCGCTCTACCACTTGAGCTACAGCGCCACTTCCGGTTTTCTGGTGGTTTATTGAGATAGGAGTTTCACGGTCTCTCCTGCCCGGGCTGGCTTTGAACTGCGATCCTCAGATCTCAGCCTCCTGAGTAGCTAGGATTACAGGCGTGAGCCACCAGTGCCCGGCCACTTTGGCATTTTTTTACAGAAGTTGGGAGCGTTCAGTGGCATGGGGCAGGCCATCACAAGGCTGGCAGTTTGAGTAGTCACTGTGGGGAGCAGGCTCACTTTTCTACCAGCAGCTCTGGGCAGTGTCCACCACAATGGCTTAGTACATGCAGGTTCATTTTTCCGCTGTACCCTACCCTCTAGCATCCCCTGGACTTTCCCAGGCCAGGTGGTACCACAGGAGGCAACCACAGTGCAGAGACAGGGGCACTGTCAGAAGACAGGAGTGTAACCTGCCCTTGCCCCTAGAGCTATGTGTCTTATCTAACCCCTCTGGTCCATGTCCTCATCTGTTGCAAGTGAGCGATGCCTCCCTTCTTCAATCTGACTCACTGGGCTGCTGCAAGGATAAAAGCAAGTGCTTTGTGACTTGTCAGATTAAAAACACACACATACACACCTGTTTTTGAAACAGTTGCGTATGAACAGTCCAACAAGGTAGGTACTACTGGCAGATTTAGAAAAGTCAGACAGAGGAAAACACATTTCACTTGCTATAGAAATCAGGTGGTGATGTACACGAGGGTCTAATTCATCTGCTCGGAGCAGTTAATCTTCTTGGACCTGAAGAAAGAACTGCTGGGTGAGGACAGGAAAGCAAGGACACTAAATCTCAGGACAGCAAGATGAATGTAATTCCTTTGAGTGACACAGACATGGCACAGAAGGTGGAGCTACTTGTCCTTCAGGAAAACACCTTGATGCTGACCCATAGAGGTATAAGGTCCCAGACTCTCATTTGTAGGTTCATGGGCCAGGTGAGGCTCCATGTGGCTCTGCCCAGCCGTGG